CGCGGCGGCGGCGGCGGGATGGGGCTCCTCCGCGTTTGCGGTGTTGGAGGGACCCCCCCCTTCCCGGCCCTCGCTGCGGTGGCCTGGGGGGGGTGGCCTGGGGTCCCTCCCTGCCTCCCTTCCTTCCTGGCCCCTCCTAACAAGCCTTGGCGCCCACCTCCTTCCCGCCGCCTCCCCGGCTCTGGCCACGCGGGGGCGCCCCTGCCCCGGGCGAGAAACGGAAGGCGCCCTTCTCACGACCTCGCCCCCCCCACCATCGGCGCCGCCCGGCTGTGGGCAAGAAGGGGAGGAAGGCCGAAGGAGCATCCGGGAAGGATGATTCCCCCCCTCCCCGGCCAGGTCCCAGGAGGGGGAAAGGAGGCAGCCCTCGGGAAACGCGTGTCGGGCCGCGAGGGACGTGAGAAAGGGGGACACGCGGGGAAAGCTGGTTGGCGGGACTCGGAAGGGCCCGGGCAGGGGCTCCCCTTCTCCACACCCGTGCGTGGCTGTATTCACACGCGCACAGAGAGGAGGGGCTCCCCGGGTCTCCGCGGAGGGAAGGAGGGAGGGGAGGACACGCTTCGCACGGACCTTCCTCGGGGAGGGCGGGGGGAGGAGGAGGGGGAGGAGCAGCAGCAGGAGCCCCTCCCCAGGCGCCCTCTGCGGCTGCGCAACCACGACAGGCTCCCCCTCCTGGCCGGGCCTAAGAACCGCTTTTCCCCGCCCGCCTGCCTACCGATTGGCTGGCCCTCCAGCATTGCGGCCCTCCATTGGCTCCCCGCGATGCCTGTCAGAGGAAGCGGTTTCCATGGCGGCGGAGACCGCGGCGGGGCCTTCTCTTCCTTCCGGACCACCTCTCGATTTCGCTGCCCAGCCGGGCGCCGAGGGGGAAGGCGGGAGAGACGGGGTAATGGTTCCGAGGGAGGAACCGGGACCCCCATCGGGAGGGTCTCACGGGCAGGAAAGGAAGCCACCCCCCCTCCGGGGACCGCTGGGCCCCCTCCCTGCCTGGTCGCCTCCCGGTCGGAGAGAAAGGGCCGAGAGCCTCCCTGGCGAGACCGCCCTTGGGCTCCCTTTTTTTGCGGGGAGGGGGGGCGCGCGCTCCCTTTGCCCCCCTTTTCTGCTTTGGATGGCTCATATGTAAAGCCTACAAATGAGCAGGAGTGTCTTCTCTTCTGACACATCCCTTTCTACATAGAGAAGTGGTCCCAAACCTTGAGTCACCAGACATTCTTGGACTGCAGTTCCCAGAAATCCTGGCCAGCAGAGCTAGTGGTGAAGGCTTCTGGGAGTTCTAGTTCAAGAGCTTCGGGGGAGCCAAGGTTGGGAACCACTGATATAGAGAAAGG